TTTTTTTAAAAGGTGGACTTTACATTTAAAAAATAAATAACATTCACTTTTCTTTCCTATTGCTAGTTTTCTCTGAACTGAATATTCCTCTGGTATGCCAGGGGATTGGGTAGGTTACCATAATTTACCCTGTCTGTGTTGTGCTGGCAGATCTCATTATTAGTTGTAAATAATGAGATTACAACACTGCCCTAACACAGGGTTAAAGTTAATAGTCTTTCTATGGGGACAGACTACCTTTCATACTGTTCAGAATAGCTGGCAGTCTTGCACAGAGGCCTGGTACACAGAGACATCTAAAAGTTAAGATTTTAATTTTTTTATATTTGTAGCTATGCTGTGTGAATAGGAACACGTCAAACATATGCCAGTCGCTGCGCACACCAGAGTGATAGCAATAATCTCAGGGCCAATATTTACGCGTTTTCTTCAACTGATGACCTGTAGGGGCTTTTAAAGTGTCGTCTATGGCCTTTTTGGGGTGCTGAATTTTTATGCAGTTTACGGATGCACACACTTTTTAACCTGGGCATGTTGGGTATCTATTTATTCGTTGTAACCTCATTTTGTATGCTTTACCAAAAAAAAAAGTTTTATATTGTGTTTTGGGTCACTAAATTTAACCTAAAGGAGAACTATGAGGTGAGTGAAAATCACTCATCCTCATAGTTCGAGCCGACGTGTGACAATGAAACTGTCGCACGTCGGCTCAATAGATTGGGAAGTGAGCGAACGCATACGGTGGCTCGCTCACTTCTTGATCATCACCCTGCAGAGAGCGATGACTGTCAGTCATGGCTCCGTGCAGGGATTCCCCCCTCCCCTCTCTGATCCTCCAGTGCTGAGTGGAGGAATGGAGGGGGCGGGCACAGCTGGCTCTGCCTCTAGGTAGGCAGAGCCAGCTGTCACTTACGTAGCTGGGTGGATCTCCACAGCATTGTCAGGATCCGTCCTGGCTGCGGCGGTCTCGGTATACCGTGATATACTGAGCTTTGGGTCACAGGAGGAGGTTAGTATATGTCCTCCTCTGACCCTTAAGAGAACTATGGGGAAAAACACTTACCCCGTAGTTCTCTTTTAAATGCATTTTTTACTACATTTTTGGATTTGATAATAAGTTGCGCTAATGTCGTACAGCATAAAAATGCTACTGCCACCATTTTATTCTATAGGATCTTGGCTTTCAGAAAATATATATTTGTTTGGGTTTGAAGTAATTTTCAGTCCTAAAATGTGGATTATAACGTGTGCAAAAAATGAAAAAAAGGCCTTGGTCCTTAAGGGGTTAACATTCTTGCAATGCACACAGATTACCCAGAGGGAATTGTTTTTTTTTTTCCCCCCCAACAAAAGTGGAATTACTCTAAGTTATGCAATGTGAATGAGGACAGGTAACAAATATAAAGTAGGTGTTATCTCAGGGTTTTGCTGCAAAAGTCGAAGTACACTGTAAGTGTGCAGTGTGTGGGGTCAGGTAGTTGTTGGGCAGTGCCTGGCAGACTTCAGCAAACTTGTAACTCTAGCCCTCAGGATGAAGTATCGGGTGGAGTGATTACATCTAAAGAGGGCACAAATACAAATCTTTAATGCTGCATAGTTCTACTCATTTTTGATAAGCTCATTTTGTGACTGTTTCTCTTTAAAAATACAATTGGATGCTGTGTTTATTTCAGATCAGTTCTGCCAAGTGTTTTGTCTCTTTGTATTGATCGACATTTAAAACACTTCTTGTGTCTGTAATTTGATGCCACCGCAGAGAAGACAATCCCTCCTATATCCCGTTTTACTTCTTTCAGGACAGGTTACTTACCATGTGTCTGTCTTCCAGCAGTGACCATCAATCAAAATAACATTTTGATCATCTGAATAACCCTTAATGCCTTATGGCTCATGTCCTGGTGTAGGCAGTGGGGTGTACACAGATTGCTGTATCTTTGACTACAGATTTACGAGCTAAAAATATTGAAAGCAGTTTGTATATTATTTGTTGTATGAGCTCTTTGTTTTTCTTCACGTTCTTGAAGTCTGTATTTATTTATTAACTGCAGGCATTTATATAGAGCTGCCAGTTTACGTATCATTTTTTCCATACTGTTCATTTACATCAGTCCCTGCCCTCAAGGAGCTTACAGTCTAGGGTCTGTGGCTCACATGCATACACACATGCTAGGGCCAATTTAACCAGCAACCAGCAACCCCTTGGATACACCAAAATATATAACTTTGCTTAAAGTGACCTTAAAGGCTAAAGCTCACGCACACACACACGCACAAATCTAATGTAAGGACTTACCTTAAATGATGCTTCTTGATCCGATCATCATCTTCTTTCCTGTAGTTTTTAGCAGTCCTTTCAGCGCTGGTGCGGGTCTCTGTTCCAGCGCTGACTCTGTGCTGGCTGTCATGCTAGACTTACCTTGTGCCTCTCCTCGTCTCCCGGCTGAAGATCTGAACTGCGCATGCGCCCGCCCCAAGATCCTTTGCGGCCGCCCGAGAATTTTCAGATGTTCAGACGGGAGCGTGCGGCAAAGACACAGGTAAGTTTTAACCCTTTGAAAAAGTTTTTTCTTTTAATCGTTTATTAAATTTAATCGTTTATTTAATCGTAGCCTATATCTACTGCTTGCAAGCAGTAGATATATGCAAAAACCGCTGAGGGTTAAATAACCCTTTAAATCGCACTCAATGTTAAAAAGACAACACAATTGTGTCTTAAGTAAAAAAAGTAAAGTTATAAAGTTACAGTAAGACTATGACCCTGACTGTGAAAAAATATGTGTCCTCATTCCTCTAGCTGCTAGGCATATTTACAATTTTTTTTCCTGTGTGTGACCATTTAGCTCCGATGATTCTGTGATTTCCTTTCTCTTCTCCTGCAGGTGCTGTGCAGTCAGTCAACCTGATGTAGTGAAAAGGCTGGGCACAGATACAAACTATATGTTGGGTACTGGATTTGCTTACCAGCTACCTTCTTATTAGGAAAATAGCTAAAATCATTAATTTAAAAAAAAATAAGCTTTTTGTGTTAGAGTTGCTTTTCAAGGCTGCTTAGTTAATGAGATTTCATATTTGGAAAATCCAAGATTTAGTCTTCATTAATTGACTCAGGCGGTTACATTAATGGATTTTATTAATGTGATTATTACTTTGCATATATTTTATTTGATTTGACATACTGCAAATACAGTTAGGAAAATGTGACCTGTTACTAAGTTGTGACATGATTATCAATGAAGAGTTGGAGGTGCTTGCTCTGGCTCCTTCTGCCTGCGCCCATCCCCCCTACTCAGAGCGAGAGGCAGGAGGAAGGCTGCGTTTGCCTGGGCATATAGGCTGGGAAAGGAGCTTAACCTACTATCTGTATGCAAGGTCTGTCTGTATAGTGTGTTTCACGACACGGGCAGAAAGAGGCATGTGAGATGTCTGCCAGTTTACCAACCACAGTTCACATCCCGTACGCTAGGACCAATCTGCAGAGATCTATAGCACGTTTCCATGTTGAAAACTACCAACATTTTTTGATAATTAGGCAGGAAATCTGCACCAGTTTCCATTTCACTCTGAAATAGAAACTGGTGGGGGTGACCCAGACAGACCTGAAGCAAGTCTATCTGTTTTGTTAATGTGCCTAAGGGGATTTGCATCAGTGATCTGGGAATATGAAAAGTAACTATATACAGTAGATAAGTATTAAGGAATCACCTGCACTCCATACAGCATGTAGACCTTCAGATACAGAAGTTTGGTGCTCGAAGTGACGACATGGAGGGTGCCGTGTAAGATACAGTCCGTAATAGAAGTCACCAGCACTCAATATTTTGTACAAGTAGTATAAGCACTTTTTATTGAACTGTCACATTTGTCATTAAGCCAACGTTTTGGGGCACCGCAGGGTTCCTTCTTCAGGGCGACATAGTGACAACCACAATCATGCAACATCAACATTCATATGGTGAGCACACACAGAAAAAAACATCACCTGTACAGTGCTCTAAGAAAAGGATTTTACTGTCAAAAATCCAATTTTTGTTTTTTTCCACCCATCAAGGATATTTTTCATCAGTTCCTGTGCTAGATAGTTGTCTCCAGCAAAATATTTTCTCTTACTGCTCAGACAGCGAAACAACCCTGTGCCTGCAGTACAAGGATCCCCTTGCTTCTGCTTCATTCGTTCTGTGAATCTGTTTTCTGCTCCTCTCATGTTGCTGCTTGAATAGTTGTAAGATAGCCAGTAAACAGAGGGCACCACTGAACATGAGAAAGCAAAGCCTTGTTCTAGCACCATGATGGGTGCCTCCACACAGTGAGGAACAAGGCATGGTGGGTCTGTAATGGCAAAAAGGTCAACCAGGGAAACAACAGACGATACTGATGACTAGTCCTTTGCTTCCACAGTTTAGGTCCTCTGTAAGATAATATATTGCAGGTATACAGTTTGCCATATAATGCTGTTTTGCTCTATTATTTCACCATACACAGTAATTACTATCTACAAGTTGTGGTCTCCTCTACTTTTAGCTTGAAAATGCAGTTGTTTTATACAACCAATCTACAAATTTAATAATACATTTTTAATTTGCAGCAACAGCACTTTAAAAGAAGGATCAAGAAATCTATATTCTCTTAGGAACAGATATAAGAAGAATTTAAAAATCTCCACAAAATCATGCAGCAGACATGCTTCATACATAGAGCGGTAAGTAGCATTAGAGGGGGGTAAAGAAAGAAATGACCCTTGTGTTATGTCATTATAAAATAATATTGCAGTTGATGTATTTAATTATTGAACAGCAGTCCCTGCTCCAAAAGAGCATATAGTCTTATGTCCCTGCCAAAATATAGAGATATACTAGGTCAGGGCTGGAGAAATCCTAGTTACCGGGGAGCCAGTTTGCTTTATAATTTACAGCTGGTGCCTAATAGTTTTTTTCTACTTTGCTAGAGTAGTAAATGTTTCCACAAGTTTACTTTGCTTCCTAAAATTGCTTATTGGCTCTCTACATTGTTGTGATTAACTTATGAGTTTTACATATTTTTGCTCGCCCTTGTTCTATGATGATTTGTGATGCCCATTAAAAAAACAGGCTATTTTGGTTTAAGAGAACATGCCGATAGAGTCCCAGGTGGGAGCTGAACCCTTGATCTTAACCCTCCAGAGGTATTATGCTTTCCATGTAAAATGGGAAGAAAGGAAGAGTTGGAAGGTTATCCTAAGCAGAATTATATGGTAAAGGATAGAAAAATAAAGTTATAATCTGGTTTGCATAAGAAATACTTTGTTTTCCTTCCCTCAATTTTGATACGGCAAGTCTTTTGTGTATTTGCCCCAGGCATTGTAGGTTTTCAGTGTCTGACATGGTTGGTTCTATAAACATCAGATGTGTCATAATAACTTTTTTGTGCACGAGAAACCAGGAGTGAATTGGATGTCGTATTTCAGATACATTTTACAAATGGTTTTATGTGGTTCACATATGAATTCACCACTTATGAATGACTTCTGTGTATACACAGCTACTTTTACCAGTGGGTTAATTCTTGCTTTTCCTGTTTGATTATTTTGTAGGGATGCACCAGTACATAGTTACATAGTATTTGAGGTTGAATAAAGACATTAGTCCATCAAGTCCAACATATTAGGATCTCATTCTAGGAGTACCTGTACCCCTGTATATTACGGTCCCTTAAGAAATCGTCCAAAAGTTTCTTGAACAATTCCACATTCTTTGCTGAAATCACTGTCTGTGGCAGTGAGTTCCAGACCCTAACTGATCTTACTGTGAAGAACCCCCTTCGCCCCTTGTGCTGGAATTTTTTTTCCACCAATTTTAGGTGGTGGCCTCTAGTTTTTGTAATGGAGTTAATTTTAAACAGTTTATCGCTAATGTTGCTGCCACCATTGAACATTTTGTACATGGAGATCATATCCCCCCTTAATCTCCTCACCTCCAATGTGAACATGTTTAAATTTAGTAGCCTTGTCTCGTAGCTCTGGTCCTCCATACCCCTAATTAGTTTGGTTGCCCTCCGCTGGACTTTTTCCAACTCTGGGGTGCAGGTTATCCGGACCCACTGCTTTGTTGGCGTTGAGCATTTTAAGTCTTTGTTGTATTCTGGTTTCCGTCAACCACTGGGGTATATTTTGAGTTAAACTGGGAGTTTTATCATGTGTGTCAAACCCGTTTCCCTCCTGAGTGTATACTGAGGAGAAAAAAGCGTTCAGCGCCTCGGCCCTCTCCTTGTCGTTTGTGACTAGCTTCCCGCTTTCATCCTTTTATTGGGCCTATCTGCTCCTTTCTCACCTTTTTACTGTTAATATATTGGTAAAATTTTTTGGGGTTCTTTTTACTATCTGCAGCGATATGCTTTTCGCACTCAGTGTACCGATACTAGAAAGGTGCCGATACCGAGTATTTGGGCGAGTACTCAAACTCACTGAAATGCTCTCGATACTTATCCCGATACTTCCCGATATATCCCGGAACTTCTGGTATCAGGAAGCCACGGTGACGAGGGAGCATGGACCTGGCTTCCCGGCCAATCGCTGCCAGTCTTCCTGATTTGTCGGGAAGCTGGTCAATCAGGAATCCGGGCACTAAGTCATTACTCGCTTCCCGGCTTCCTGATTGGCCAGAAAGCCAGCTTAATGCTTCCTCGTCACCTGGTGATGAGGGAGCATGGAGACGGCTTCCCGGCTCATCAGGAAGCTGGGCAGCAAGTGATTACATGCCACCCGGCTTACTTAATGGGACTTTCAATATTGGTATTCGTCCCGAAAAAAAAATATCGGCCCTCGTACTCAATAACGAAAAACCGGTATTGTGCATCCCTAAGCTTTTGGGCATTTCTCCCTCTCAGTTTGGATGCTCAGGCTACAACCAGGTATTTGCTTAAGTTGCTGTTTCTTACTCTTCTGGGTTTTCGGTACCTTTGCATACATAATAATCCCAGATCCAGATTATTTTTGGTTATACCACCCCTTTTACTTCTCCCATTCCTTTTTTTTTTTTTCTTCAATGGAGTCTATGAACAATTAGTATAGTTGCGGTCCTTGAGGTATTTAACTCTCCTCAGACCTGTCTTTCTCACTAAGGACTTTTCAAACTATTGGTTCACAAACATTAGTTCCTGGAGATTAGGAAACTGAAATTTTGTGAATTGTACATCCACCCTAGTGTTTTCTAGCATGGGGATTATTCGTTTTCCCTTTCCTGTATCCTAGAAATATTTTTTTCAGGAATAAAGATCATCTTCCTCCTTTGTTACAATATATCCTCACCCAGCCTTCCCTCTTATATGGGTGTTCCTAGGGGCGTGGCTGTTGGCCCAACTTTCTTCTCCTGTTTAGGTAGTTGTTCCACTAGTTTTCTGTATTCTGGATGATTGGTTGCCCTCCACATTATTGTTGAGGTCTTATCATTCTTTCAGATAGGACTTTTCCCATTGTGGTGCTACTTGTTCTACTCTGGAACATCAGGTTGGTTCTCAGTGCCTTTCCTTGATCATAGCAATTCTACATTGACTTTTCTATTTTTCATCTAACCTTTGCTCTGGCATTGTTTATTATGGATGCTCATTTAGATAGATTTCACACCTGTTGGATCTCCCAGGAAATGTTTCCCACCCCTTATTTGGATTTCATTTGAATGTCCCTCGATGGATGTATAAAGAAAATAAGATTTTTGTACTTTCTGTAAAATCTTTTTCTTCAAGTCCATCAAGGGACACAGGTTCCTGCCCCTCTATGTTGTTGGACTTATGTATTGCTTGCTCACAAACAGAGCCACAAAGGTTGGAGAAAGGGTTATAGAGGGCCTGGCTTAGTTTTTTTTTTAGTTTGCCAGTGTCCTGTTCCTCAATGGAATTCACAAAAAAGATTTTACGGTAAGTACAAAAATCTTTTTCTGAATAAACGCTGACTAAATATTCTAGGCAACACAATAGTACATAAAAACTGTTTATAATGAAGAGTAGAGAAGGATCACAATGATCAACGATCTAGAATCTGTTCTACAGTTAAAGTTTTAGCAACGTATCCCAAGGGCTTGTAGCAATAAAGCACAATTTGTTCAGGCGTAAACAAACCTGTGCATTCAGTAATCTCCTAAAACTAATGCTTTGTGTTTTCTTTTCTGTGTCCTGCAGCATTCCTTTTGAAATTCTCCTTAAAATCTTATCATATTTAGACCCAGTATCCCTGATGTCTGCTGGCTGTGTCAGCAAGCAATTCTACGATCTTTCCAATGACAAGTAAGGACAATTTATGGACATTTTGTACTTTGTGTGAATTCAAATATATTTTTATAATGTTACCTTTCTTATGGCTTATATATTGTAAATGTTTATTACACATTGTGAAAAGTAAGAAGTATATTGACCAGCCATTTTCATCTTGCCTTACAGAAAATATTATAAGCCGTAGATAAAATATAGTAGAATTCTGAACCTAAATGACTCAAATTTGGGAACATTTGCTTATTTTATTCTTTAGAGGTATATTTTACCTTTTTGATAAAAAAAATGTGTAAATTCACCCACATTAAAAAAATAAAAAATGTGCATTGGCACATTCAAAGCTTTGCAATCACGATTAGTGTATCACGGAGGAAATGCACAGACCCCCTACAGATTATTGCAGTCCCATGTCAGTATGGAGGTGCAAAACTTTGGTTAAGAGGCAGGAGGAAGTAATCCAATGAACGAGTGCACCACCGCCCTTCTGCTCAACTGATGTCTACAACTCCCTCTGCTGCGGTGACAGATGGTACTTGTACTCCTCCATTCACAGATCCTTGTGAATGGATGATGCTGTTGTGCAATACAAAATTCTATAGGGAGAATTACCCTGCTATTTGGGTATGGGGAGGGGTGGCTGCTTCAGGGGCAGGGCAGGTTGGGGTTGCAGACAGTCACCAGGTTTCATTTTACACCACAAATATCGGTGTAAGTTGAAACATGGTCAATAAGCTGTGATAAGCCTTTAAATCTTTTGAATAGTTATGCCTTAGTAAGGCTAATGGAAGATTTCCTGGAGGAAACAGACAGGCTACCAGAACTTTAAGGATCTAAATAAAACACCTTCTAATGGACTTCAAGTGTTTACATTGGGCAGACAGACATTCTGGCATCAGGTTAAAGACCTCCAGCTGGCTTTGGTCTGTCTGTTTACATCATGGGTCCTCTTTACCCTCCTCTTGATTTGGCAGTGGGTGGATACTAAATTCTGCAAAGAGTGGTGTCACAAATTGACCTGGCACTGCTCTCTGCAGCATTCTCTTGTGTGCCCAGAGAGATTGGCTCAGTATACTATTTAGAGCTGTTTTTTTTTAACTATTGTTCAATTTTTTTTTTTTTCAAGCAGAGGTTTGGTTTTTAGCAGTATGTAGTGTATTTCTGATGGTTATTACAATAATTTTCAAGGACGCAATAAAAATAATTATTGGCGGAATAATGAAAGAACCTAAACAAATGTTTTTTTGTGCTTGTAGGTTGGAAAAATGTATAGTTATCTGTGTGAACCTTGCTATGTAACATCTATGTAACATCTGTATTTTTATTATGGAACAACTGGAGTAACAATAGTCATGTGGGTCTTAAAGTGACATTAAACTCAGCAGTTAAATCTTAAAAATACATTCAAGTACTTTAACTATTAACAAAAATGTGTCTGATTTGTGTATTACTCAGCTGTAGGTCCTCAAATCATCTCTGAATTGGTGCTGACACTGTCATTCCTTCTGGAGGGTGGCTACTTTTGTTCCTCATAGTCCCTGTGTGTGTTGTAAAGTAGCCACCGCTCCAAGCTCACTCCTGTGATGGACTACCATCTCAATACAATTTAGTAAACTAATTGTAATATTGTAGTTCATCACAGAAGTGAGCTTGGAGCGGTGGCTACTTTACAACATACACAGGGGCCATGGGAAACAAAAGTAGCCACCCTCCAGAAGGAAGGACAGTGTCCGCACCTATTCAGAGATGATTTACAGCCGAGTACTCACAATAAATTACATTTTTATTAATAGCTTAGGGAACTTGAATGCATTTTTAAGATTGAACTCCTGAGTTTAGTGTCACTTTAAAGTCTATAAAAAAAAACTGTTCTTTTTTTAGTTTTCCATGTTTACCTGGAAACACAAGAGACAGAGAATGGTGTGGAAGATTCAATGACCTATAGTAACCAACAATCCTTTTTCTATAATCTGACTAACTGAATCAATCATAGACTAAATCTGATTGGTTATTCTAGGTTATTGTATATTTTATACATCATTATATCATTTTATCTTTGCAGTCTGTTATTTAATAAGATTAAAGCTTCTTTCTGTGTCTACACCCACCCCCACTAATCGCGGGCAAAATAAAACCAAAAAAAATATATACCTAAATGACCCTTCTACTCACATTAGTATTAATAGTGAGTATAGAAGTGCTTGTACAAGGTATTTTAATAAATGTGCTGAATTGGTTAGAAAATGATTTCATTGGTGTATTCTGCTGTGGTTTTATGGGTCAGTAAAAATTGGTTAACATATATTACTACATACTGCCTTGTTTAGTTACATGAAATAACTAATTTAGTTTTCTTTTCAGTGTTTTGTGGTATAAAATTTACATTCTGCATAAGAAGAAAACTCTGTGTTGGAAATATGATTCTATGTATTCGGTTGGGAAAGGTTTAAATGACACAACAATTACAGACAGAGAACCTGGCTATTGGAAGAAGAACTATATCAGTGAATTAATAACTGCAACAGAGAAAAGAATTAATCAGATTTTGAAAGCTGCCAAAAAACACAATACATTTGGTGTGCCAGCTAACATAGAAAAGCCAGTAAAGTAAGTGTAATAAATTTAAAAGAAAACTTCTGTGACAGCTTTTATATGGCGATTAAATTACATTTGGCAAGTAGGTAATATGTTAACTTTGAGCCCCTGTTTTTTCAAAACCTCAAAATAAATGTACTGCACTAGTCACTTCAATCTCCAATACTTTTCCAGCTTTCTATGTGTGCACTGTATGTATGTATGTACAGTATGTGTGTATCCTATAAAAAGAAGGCCTCAGATGAACATGATAATACTATTCTTCAATTTGGAGCTAATGTCCCACACAAAAAAGAGGACTCTCGAGAAATGTTCCTAATTTCCTAAAGTACCCCATGACACTGGGGACAGAACATTTTAGGTCGAACAGCTTTTGTCAAACCTGCAGTTCTGGCTTTACATACAGGCCTTATGCGTAGAATCTGTATGACAACAATTCCCCAACACAATGTCCTGTGCTATATTAATAAACATCCTCCCCTTGAGAGCCACTAACCGACACTTTGCTGCGCTGGTGGTTCTCAGTTATGACTGTCACTGAAAACTACACTCCTCGTTGACCATTTGAAACTAATAAGAGTGGCTCCTGGTCATGTGATCTTTGTGTCAGCTATGACATAGTGATTACATACAACCTGGGGGCTTCACTGACAAAAACAAGCCTTCAGTCTGCATATAAACACTGCCACCTGTAGTGCCATCATTTTAATAGTGTACCCGTTAGATACAATTGCATTATTAAAAATTAATCAATCGAATAAAGCCAATGTTCTTAAGTACATATGCAATTAGACATATTTTATTTATATGTTACTGACACCAATACATTTGGCCTGGGCATCTAGGCATCAGCGACCTCTAGTCACAAAAGGGTTATGAATGCAAAGTATCTAAAAATAGTAATTTCTACTATGTGGAAATTTAAAAAGACATGGCGCCTGGGGCTCAAGTCCTACCTATCTTAAACATAGACTGCTTGACAATTCATGAACTGTCCTTGAGGACATCCCCCCACTTGGGCCCTGTGGGGAACTCAATTCTGGTGCTACATGGGAGCAGTTTTCAACATACACCTTCTCAACCTCTGCATCCAAGTTAATTTCCTTTTGCTGTCACAGCCCCCACCCCCATCCCCCAATAGTGATAACCATATCATATTTCTAGAGGTGGGCACCAGCTGTCAGAATACAATAGCCTGGCAAGGAAGATTCCGCTAAATGGCACAGATGGGGAAATTGAGCCTTAATGTATTGAGGGCCTATGACACACCTACATAATCTCTACATTATACTACATAAACTTTCCTGAACTTTTTTTATTCATGAAAATAATGTAATGTATTTGTGAATTCATGCTCATAGCTAAAGATTTTGTCATATACTGTGTGCTTTCTGTATCCTTTGTTATGGTTTGTTTTTGTGCATGTCATTTTCAGATTGTTATAACAATAAAAATCTAGAGAATAAAAAAAAATATATATTTTTTTAAAGTTACATATACATGCTTAAACCTATATAAAGCAAATACTTAATACTTTAACCAGTTGCCGTCCGCCCGTAGTAGAAAAACGGACGGACGGCACTGTCGCATCCGCGGGTTGCCGTCGCCAGACGGCATTTTTTTTCTGCTCGCGCGCGCCCCCTAGCGGGCACGCACGGGCAGAAAAGACCCGTCCTAGCTCTATCTGTCCTCAAAAAAGGGTATAAAATTCATTTCAGTACAGCGCTGCATGACGGAATAAATGTCAGTCAAAGTACCGCAGCGCTGAATACTGAAAAATGGCCTGGATGGGAAGGGGGTTTAACACCGCGGATGTCAACTGGTTAAAGTGACATTAAAACCTCAGATTTTTTAACATAAAACAATACTGTAATGTGTGCCTTACTGTAATCCATGGTTGTTTCCCTTCTCTTTGCTGCTCTTCCTTTTAAATCTGTATCTCTGTATCTGTATGCTGGACAGAACTTCTGTTTTGCAGCAGACTGCCTTGTCTCTGGATTGTATACATGGTGTCTGTGTGTAGGCTTGCAACCTGAGCCAGCACTACAGGAAGAGGCACTCAGCTGCAAAGGGAAGTTCTGCCCAACATGAGAAGACATGAGGATTTAAAAGGAAGAGCAGCAAAGAGAAGGGAAACAACCATGGATTACAGTAAGGCACACATTACAGTATTGGTTTATGTTAAAACATCTGAGGGTTTAATGTCACTTTAAAGTACTATATATGTAAGCCCAATTTTGTCTAAGTAAAATCCTACTTGTGTGATTGGCTTACTGCTTTACCCAGAAGTCTACAACGTGGTGCTTCTGTTTAGAAAAGGGTCAAAGCTTTTACCAAGCACAGTAGTCCCAGACCTGGAAGCTTAAAGTGATATTAAAGTCAAAAGGATTTTAAGCTATTTCAAATGCTGATGAAATCGCTTACAATGGGTGATGCTTTTTTGATGTTTGAACGTTTTGATTTCCTGCAGAATCAGCTGCTCCCCTAAGTACTGGTCCTGACTTCCTTTTTTAGAGTGCCTCCTTTCTCAAGCAGAGTGCTATGCGTTCACCTTTGCGTGTACTAGTAAACTGTGTGTCTTCACAAACACACAGGCACAACAAATCAAGCATCTTCCCTCCCCCCTGGCCCCCTCTCTTGCCCCCTCCATTCTCCAAGCTAGTAGATGAACAGTTGCTAGAGTCTGCACTTTGTGATCTTGTACTAGACAGGAAGTTCAGGGAAACTGAGCTGAGAGACTTGGAAGCAGCTGTTCAGAAACATGATGACTGTAACTGTTTGGGCAAAAATGTAAAGCAATGCTTTGCTGGGCAATGTATGTTTATTTGATCTGGGTTAACTGAAAAAAAGTTTGAGCGTTTAATACTTTAATTTCAATAGTCCGGAAGATGCTTGAGTTTGATAAAGGACCACATAGATGGGTTTTTGCTAGAGAACAATATTATAGGTGATAGTCAGCATGTATTCACAAAAGCAAACACATCTTTCTTTTTATGAGGAAGTAAGCAACAACTTAGACAAAGGAGAGGCTGAGGATATAGTTAATTATTGAAATCACCCCACAAGCAACACTGGTATAGGTATTTTATCTCTAAGAAACACTGTTAATTGCTTAAACACATCACTAGTGTACAGCGGGGGGATATATATACTAGCCAGAACACATTCCAAATTAGCAAACTGCAGTGTAAAAATACATAGTGACCAGTAGGGTCACATTTAACCTGTCTACAGGAAAGGGCCACTGACTTGGTTACAAAAATGGAGGTACCACGTGCATAGCTTGAATAATAAGAATGAAAGGTTGCTTGAAACGACTTTCTTTCAAGAGAGCGAGTCGCCCCTGCAGTGGAATGGGTTTCCTGAAGACCGATTTTAGAGGGCTTGAGAGATAAAACTGAGTTAAAGACCCCCTTGTCTCTTAACTCGATGCCCCAGGCCTCTTACATTCCATGATAATATAGAGAGTACTCCTAGCAGAAATTTACAATAAAAAAATTATCTCCATAATCAACATGCTAACATTTGACTATATATAAACCAGAGGCACAGTATCAACAGATCCTTGCATTAGGGGGATCTTGCCCCAGTCTAGGAAACCCCCAGATGGGGGTGGACAGGCTCTTTCTACCACAAACATAGATGAGAGAAACACTCTACCCATCAGACCCGACAGCCAATGTTCAGCAAATTCCAACGGGTTAAACCCTTTAGATCTCCCAGGCAGACCAACCACTCTAATATTGTTTCGGCGCAACCGGTTCTCCAAATCTACCAAATGCGAGGAGTTGGTGATTGATCGCTGCGTCACCGACATAAGGTCAGCCTTTACTGGGGCCACCATATCTTCCCCATTCCTCAGCCTATTCTCTAAGGCAGAAGTCCGATCTCGCACTTTCTGCAAGTCCTGACGAAGCATCATTATAATCTGCCCGCATATCTTGAAATTGAGTAGTTAGGGATGCTAAGGAGGAGTTAGACAATTGTACAGCAGAGTATATATCAGTCACTGTAGGCTCCATTCCAGGAGTGTGTAAGGCGATGAGTAAAGGCATAGTAACATTAACCCCTTCATGACTGAGCTTGTTTTTAGTTTCTGTTCGTAAATGACTGACACACTTTTGACATTTTTGCTGTGTGATTCTTCCACGTCAGTAATATACTTTCTTACAAAGTGCACCCACACATATTATATATTGTTTTTTAGAGGACAGATAGGGCTACATATTTATATCACATATGTGTGTCTAACGCCTCACTTAGGACAAATAAAATATAAAAAAAGAGGAAAAAAACGTTAAAAAAAAACATTTTTTTCCCAGTTTTGATTTGTAGTATTTTTTTTACAAAACCAGCACAGCTAAAAAAATGCAATAAATACATTCATTTATTTGTCCCTTATTTTATTTTATTTTTTACACATTTTTTTATTTTTTTTACACTTTTCACAATTTTTTTTACATTTTTCACTTTTTTTAACTTAAAAATGTTATTTTATTTATTTAATTATATCAAGCAGATATTGTGAATTAATACATTTTTGGTTATTATCAGGCTGCTTCAAACTTCAGAACAGCCGATAATAAGTTAGTGACACTGATCCTGCAGCAGTTCAGGATTCAGCTGTTACTAAAGGTTTTCTGATTGTTGCAACAACGATCAGCAAACAAACATTCTTCTTCCAGGAATAGATACATTGTAGGAATAGACACATTTTGTATCTATTCATGAAAGAAAAAAAAAAAGCCAGTATAGCTTGAGAGAGATATCTCTCGATCTATACGAGCTGTCAGAATGCCGGCAAAAGCCGGCATCTGTGTCCGCTTTGCTTTGACTCTCAGACACCCGATATTAAGGTATCGGGTGTCTGAAAAAGGTTAACCCTTTCATTAATGAATGCCTCTGTAGTAAGGGCATCCATTAATGAATGTTAAAAGCTGATTCTCAGCGATTAACAGCCCTCTAAAGCAGCAAATAACTCGTCACGTACAGTGTACGTGACAAGTCATTTGGTCCCTTTGTGGCTGGACGTACAGTGTACGTCTCCCGTCACGAAGGGGTTAAGTGTATTACCCACAGTTCCCCCCTCTGTCTCCAATTCAGCTGTACCTCCAGGATAGCAGCCTGACTTCTCCTTACTCTCTCCTGTTGCCAAGCTAATGATACTTTCATCTAGCGTTGCTGATAACGAAATTCTCGCAAACTTTTCTAAGTGAGTTGCCACCTCTTTCATTTGATCTTTGATTGTTTAGGCAGGATCTTCTTCACAGAGCAGCTACCCCCCGCCGTGCTGAATTGCATGACTCACAGACCCCCTGCTTCCTTTTTTCTCGTCATGCCATCAATGTATCAAACAGCACCAGGAAAGCTTTGTACAGCTGCGTGGGACAAACTACCGACGAAGGGCAGCCTGGATGCCCTGGTTTGTCTCAGGATCCACTGCCAAAATTCTCAGCCGCACATCCGCTGACGTGCCGCACATAGCCACACATGTTACACATCGCCGCAAACGTGGCAGTGAGAGCAATAATTCTAGGCCCATCAATCACTGATAAAAATAAAATGATGAGCGATAAAAGTATCGCCTACGGCCAATTTTGGGTATGGTATTTTTTTGCGGGCGCACGCAATTTTAAGGCTTGACATGTTTGGTGTCTATTTACCCGACATGACCCCATCTTTTATATTTTACCAAAAAATTTGGTAATAATAAATGTTTTATAACATAACGTAGGGAAAATAGTTTAAAAAAAATATTCGGTCCTTTTTTTATATAGTACAGAATAAAACCCCCAGTGGTGATTAAATACCATCAAAAGAAAGCTCTATCTGTTCCTAAAAAATGGTATAAAATTCATTTCAGTACAGCGTTGCATGACGGAATATATGTCAGTCAAAGTACCGCAGCGCTGAATACTGAAAAATGGCCTGGGCAGGAAGGGGGTTTAACACCCCAGTCAGCAAGTGGTTAAAGGTCCCCTGTCCTTATATCCATATTCTAACTAAAATAACTATAAGCTAACTTTATGCAGTCATATACAAGGAAGTTCTATTCTCACTACACATTGACGTAATGAGGTTCTATACTCTCAATATGGGTTTTACAATAGTCCAGACTCGTACATTCCTACTTGCCATACTTCAATCTAATTTAAACTAGTGTTCTGACATTGCTCTCAGATCGACAAGGACAGTATGGAAGTTTATCTATTTCAAAGTCCCATTCATCCAGGCAGAGATCATATATATTTTACCATGGGCCCATTCTTTTATTCCTCTGAAGCCAATTCATATTTGAATCTTAAGTATTTTTATTTAAGGATCTACAGCCGAATGATACACAAGTATGATACATTTTTCTTTATAGTTAAAGTACTTGAATGTATTTTTAAGATTTAACTCCTGAGTGTAGTGTCACTTTAAGGTCTGTAAGCTTAGAAAATGCAGTCTGTAAATGGATAGAATACTGGCTTAAAAACTGTATTTGGAGATTAATGATTGATGATTCCTTGTCTGAATGGTCTAAAGTTTTTAGTGGTGTAAAAAAGAAGTAAATCAAATCCTTTTTTTCTGCCTTTTAATTTTGGGTCACTGGAGTACATTTGTAAATGTGCTACTGCCTGCTATCTGCCGACAGCGCAGAGTCGTGCTGCAGCTGGGAAGGACCCCAACAATCTTGCCGGGATCCACCCAGCTGCCTTATTGACAGCTGCCTCTCTAGAGCCAGATCCAGCTATGCCCACTCCCTACCAAGAGCACTGGGGAAACATAGAGGGAACAGGAAAATCCCTGTGTGAAGTGGTAACTCTCTGAAGGGAGAAGACCGTGAACTGAGCAATCAACAGTAACATGATTGCTTATCTCTCGTTCTAGAGCTGTTGTATGATAGCTTCAGTGTCCAATGCTTGCTCTTATTGTGGGGAAGAGTATATTTTACTTTCCCAATTATTCTCCTTTATCCTATTTATAAATGATACATAGTTAGAAATTGTACTTTTAATTCCAATGTTAGTTTGTAAAAGCTATAAAAATATGGAATAGGCTACCTCAGGAACTAGTTTTGGCCAGATCAGTTGAAAAAAATGGAAGCATTTCTGCACATGCATAGAATAAGACTAGATATTAACACTTATAAGTAATAACATCAGAGATTGTTGATCCAGGGAATATCTGATTACCTTAGGGGGATCAAGAAGGATAGTTTCTTGACTCTGAGGCTCTGAGGCAAATTGGACCATGCTTTTAGAGTTTTGTGCCTTCCTCTGTATGAGCTTTGGGTATAGTGCTCTGTTTATAAAGGTTTTCTATTTATTTATTGCTTTTTTTTTCCTTTTTTCTTTTCTCTATTGGTTGAACAGGATGGACTTGTTTTTTTTAACCTTCCTTTGTAAGATATAACTATGTAATATATGCCAATGCTTGTCCATTCTAAAGGGGCACAGACACATTACAACCCTGAGGTTGCACCACATTGTTATAATGAAGGCTGACCATCTTATTTAGAAGTCAGTTTCAGAAAGCATCAGGTGAAACTAACACATTTTGTTTTTGGACTAGAGAAGGCTGTACATCTAAAGAAAAGTTTATTAAAATCTGTGTAGTTCTTGGGTCATTCTGTACAACAGTGGTGTGCAGTAAACTTCCATGTTGACATACTGCAAGGAAGCAAATTTTTTTTCACAATTCTTGTAAAATTAGATCAGCTGTAAATTAAAATAGAAATTTAATTTTTAATGACTTATCTTGTGTGGCAATTAAATATGTTGTATCAGTTTTTAAACACAAGTGTATTTTTCCTTTTAGTGACTGCTTTTTAACATTAAGTTCTCATTTGTCATCTGTTGGCAGAATGTCTGCATTGACGTGGGCCCTTACTTTCAAAGATATTAATGGGAAAAAAACTGTAATTGAGCAGTCTGGTATTACTTTCAGAGATACATCCCTTACACTGTGTTGGAATAGTTATACTTGGCCTGCCTTACAAACCCTGATCACACTTCAGCTCCATGGAATTACACGGGTTCAGAATGATTGTTTGAATCCTCGTAAAAATGGGTATGTATTCCTTTCAGTTTGTTTTGTAACTTTGTTAGGTATAAGGGGATGTTCACACTTAAAAATTCAGGTGTCATTGATATGTGTTTTTTGAGCACATTCATTTAATCTATGGTAACAAGATAAGGAAAATAAGATTACACCAGAGTTTCAGCACTTTTCGTAACACAAAAAAATTGGAATGTTTTCTTTTTCTTCATTCTTTTGTTCGATTTTCTTATTTGTTGTATTTAACGTTAAAATAAAGCCAACACTTTTTATATACTGTGTGTGTGTGTATATATGTATGTATATATACACTGAGTGGCCAGATTATTATGACCACCTGATGTTTGTACGCAAATTAGCTATAATTTCACGCTGAAGTTGCTAGAGGGCCAGACCATTATAAATAAGGAAGCAGGTTGTTTACCACGACAGTGGAAGTGATTTTTTTTCTGAAGGTATTGGTAAACCAATGCGATTTAACAGCCTTTGAACGTGGGATGATTGTTGGCGCTCTGAGCCATGGAGCGAGTATCAGCAAAACAGCAGAATTCGTTAAAGGAGAACTATGGGTTAAGGCTTTTTTAAGGCTTTTCCCCATAGTTCTCAGGGTAACGGGAGGACACAAACTAGCATCCTCCCGTGACCCTAGGCTCAGTACACCGCGAGCAGCAGCTCGCGGTATACTGAGACGCCGCAGCTTTTGTTGTCTTGTACCAGTCTTGCCACTCTCCATTCTGCCCTAACATTGACTAGTTCACACCCAGATTTTCGGCTGACAGTCCGGTCTTTAAACACTAACAACAGCTGCTCATTTAAAGGAGAGCCATATATATATAAAAACGTTTAAACATTTTGTTCCTGGAGCCATCAATGCCTATTTTAGGCCTTATACCCCCAAAACATTATATCATTTCTGAAATCAGAGAACCTTTAGAATTAAATGTTGGCTGTTGCCATTTTTTATGTCGCACAATGATTACACTACTTCTTATCAAATCTATATATTTTCAGTAAAAAAGTGCACTTAAATTAATTTTAGTTTACAGAAACACAATATAATGTAGGGACCCTGCTATAAGCTGGTGTGTCTTTAGATTAAATTTAGTGTTGTCAGCTAGGTGGTAGATAGTCTGAGCTTTTGTTTGTTACCTGGGTTTGTTAGGTTTTTCTTAAGCCCAAGGGTCATAGTTTGCTTCTGCGTACCTCTGGGGTGTGTTCTTCCGCAGATAGAGTGAGAAAATGCAAAGTTTTAGGTTATGAATATATATTTCACCCTTGCCAATTGCTGAGGGTTTTTTTTCCACTGATGTAGGCTGGGAAAGGGAATAAATATTTGGAGGGACCTTCCAGAAAGGTCCTTTCCGCCCAAGCATTGACTGGAGAGGATGTCACGGTGAGGGATCCTTGTCTTTCCCTCCCAGGCTTTGACAGGAGAGGACACAGTGGAGGGTGTGAGTCCAGATGCCCATGCCTCCCAGTCCTGCTGCTGGGGGAGGATAAAGCTGTACCATGGTCCAATTCCGGCTGATAAAGGGAGCTTAAGAAGAGTGTGGCTTAGTCAATTGCCAGTGCCGACTTTAAGGGTCCCCACTGAAAAATTGCTAGTCTTGGGTTATAGGTCCACAATTATTACAACCTGTGGTAGAGGCTGAAGGCACTTAAAGGTAGCGGTCCTTCTGGCTTACCTATTGTACGTTTAGCCTGGGGTAGTGGTTAAAGACATTACACAAATCTAATAAATGGAGGAAATATTTTTCTGCTGTTTTGGGCCTATAAAATATGCAAAAAGAAGATTGACGGAGTGGAAGTCTGTTGATTGCAGTTGTTGGCTCAGTGAGTGTTTAGGGCCAGTGAAATGGTAAATCACCAGTAGAAAGGCTAGTAAGGCCATAAATTCAGCAGCTCCTAAGGGGTAAGTGATACAATAATACCCGAATTTTGGGGGTAAAATTATGAGGTTGTAGGAGAAAATAGATACCAAATATGTTGAGCCTCAAAACTGTTCTTGCCCGTCAAGCACTCAAAATTGTCCGTAGGCAACACCTCTCAATCTTTAGAGCACCTAAATGTAAAGCTAACAATTGATCTTTGTTCTTAATCTGGCATTCGCAGTGATACCTAATATGTGTGGTGCCCTCCATCTCATAGCTGCAATGGATCCGAGACAAGAGTTTGAAGACGGAAGGCATAGATCAGGCTGATTTAGTCCCACAGTAAGCATATGCTGCAAAGGCCCGGAGATCTTTGGTCCTGGCAACAAACTTGTCCAGCCCTTTGTTAAAACCTGCAACAAGGGACATGGGTCCTGAAACACCTCTGGGTGAAGGGACCATGCTGCAGGATTGATATGTTTATGAACAAGGGAGAGGCATCCAGAGCTCTGTACATACTGGTAAAAAGTGCCTTCATGTTCTTTATAAAGAATAAAAAGATAAATTGGCAGAGCTCTCTTAGGTCCAAATTTTTACCCAATCTTGTATATGAATTGAAGCACCACTCTTCCACTCTATAACATAGGTATATTTATGCACCAAGGTTGGCTGATTTCTGACATCTTTGGGGAAGTCCTGTTTTCAACTATAGGGCTTCACAGTAATCGGGTCTAGCTTGACTTAGTAAAAGGAAAGTTGGTGGTATCAACTGAGAGTATAGACACATTCAGAAAACATCTAGATGCCTTCCTCCTTGTAATACAGTATGCAGGGGAATGGGAATTCTTAGTGACTCCTACACCGCACGTACGTTTAACTGGATGGACTTGACTCTTTATTCAACCTTAACAACTATGTAACTATATGGTGAATGGTTGCATCTTATGTCAATGAAAATAACAGACTTTTTTTATTTTTTATCATAATACCAACAAGGCCTCGAAAGCTTTCACTCATTGCAGAGTACAACCTGAAGGACTTCAAAATATCCAGCAGATTCGTTGGGCAAGACTCACTTATAAAACTCTATTATCTTGATCCTGGCTTAATGATTGGCTTATGGAAGGTAATATTACATACTGTATATTCACATTGATTGTTTGTCTGCTATGTTTCTCTTTATGTTAATAGAATCAATTGTATTAGACTGTGGAGGTCAACCACAACAAAATTTCTTTGGTTTTAGAAAAGATAGCAGAAGTCTTGCCTAAAGGTTGCTCATACACGGTTTTTGAGGAACCAGCCAAATTCGCACAGTGGGTGCCACAGTCGACACCCTTTCGGTTGGCATCCCTTGATCAGTTAATCGAAGGCGCTGGCCAGAATATTTTCATACTATAGGAGTCGGCAGCCAATGAGCTACCCACTCTTGTCGGGTATTTTAACTGCAGCTGGTGGCCGCTGTCAAATTACAATGCAAACAGTGGGATTCCTCGATTGGCACACTCCTTAAGTCCAATAAATTTATGTAGCCCTATAAAAATAATGTGTATATATTTTGTATTTTTACATCCAGCCAGCTAATGGAGGTCTTGGCAGTTTCCTATTTCTTTGTGGGCTGTCCTTATCAGCTTTGCTAATAAAATAAATTAAAAAGGCCTATTGTTTACAGTACTCAATGGCTGGAGGTATAATTTACACACACAAGTGCGAAAGTGAATGAGTCAGGCAGTGTTGCATCCCCCTTTATCCCCCTCCTTCTATATGGCTCCCTACCATACTGCAATCACATTAAGTATCTGAAATGAATCCGCTTCAGCTTTGCACTCTGTGCAATGAGAGTATAATGTATAAAATGTTTGTAAAACGGATTATTGGTACATAATAAACAAAAAAAAAAAGATTGCTTTAAAATATATTTCCACTTTTGCAGTCAAATTTGTAAAAGGAAACACTGTGTGTGTGTGTGTGTGTGTGTGTGTGTGTGTGTGTGTGTGTCCATTCACACAGCATATCTGAAAATATTTTTTTAAAGTTATTTCTTATCTTTCAGATGTTTTCTTGGTGGAGGCCTTTGTGCAGATTTGAGGCTGCTGTGAGCAGTTTGAAAGTGAAAGTAGATTGACAGACTGAGCTTCTTGTTATTACCGTACAATGCTTCTAAGTCTTTAAACCATTGTTTGGCCAGTGTTGAAATCTAGTTTACAACTGATAATGAGATTCACTGGCACAGTACAGACATGGATAATTAGAATAAACATAACTTCCTATAACCTCTCCTTAACATCACCTAGGGGGGAGGCTAGGTAACAATTTTAAGCAAGTTAAAATCACTTAAAAATGTAAGCTGCAATTTAATTTTTATTTTTAAGTTATGCTATGTGGATGCAAACATATGACAAATATAAATTCGTTATTATCCCAATTTGGCTGCAAAAGTGGAAATACACTTAAAGGCAGTGTTCATCCTTAAAAAACAAACAAATGCACGCACATTTATAAATTCAAAATGGATCGGGTGTGCAATGTACTTTCTCCAGTCCCTGTCCGTACCGAGTACAGACTTTCAATTACAAGGACTGAAGGGAGGAAGTATGAATGGGCTACAAGTGTGTTGATGTCACCACACTTGTACTTCGTTGTGAGCTATTCTATGGTGTAATGGTAGATGGGACTTGTAGTCTGTCCATTCAAAAATCCTGTCAAAAAATCTGTAAATGGATGAGGCGACTATATGGGCAATATGTGATGGGCCTGCTTGGAGAAGATTCAGGTAAGTTGGGGGGGGGGGGATGTAGTTTGCTCTAGATGTGATTGTGTTTCATGTTGTCATTAGCAGACAACATCCTGATGATGCAATCTCCTTATAGAACAACTTGCTTTCCTAATTAGCAGCAGCCTGTGTGGGTTTAGAAATAATGATGCTATTTGCTCTGAAATAAGAACCTTTTTGTTAATTTTAGAAGACTGCTGACATAGCCTTTGTGATGGCGACGCTACATTATCACCAGCTGCTTGAGAAGAGTTTTTGGGGCACAACGGAAAGGTAACATTTTGGAATTCTTTTTTTGAGGTGCCGCGGGCAGGTTGGGTTATAATGTATGGGGAAAAAACACAAACAGGGGGCGCCTTTCCTAGTGCAGACAGGTTTATTCAGATTAAAAACAATAGATGTTTATGGGAATATGGGGGAGCGTAATTCCATTAGGCTTTCCTGACAGCACAGTTAAAATCCATTTGTTTTAGTTCTCTTTGTAAAAAATACAAAATATATACCATTTTAAGTTGCTGATTTTAGAGTTTTCCTGTCATTGTTTAACTGCAGAATTAGACACTAATAACATCAATTTGCAAAAACATAACGCATGTAATATTTTCTTTACCATGCATTATTTTTCTTGATTTATCAAGAGATTTTAAATCTGCTAAAGGATTTAGTACATGATCAGCTAAAAGAGGAACTCGTCTATGGAACCTGTACCCAAAAAAGGCAGGCTGAGGTTACCTTGCCTTGTTCTACACTGTGTCTCTGTGTGGAGGCAACCATCTTGGTGGAGGCAGGGTTTTATTACCTCATGTCATAGCCTCCAGCAAGGTGAGCATCTCATTAGTGGCTTAATAAAATCTTACTCCATATCTCCTGAGACTAGCAGTCAGAAGCAACACTTACTTAGATCTCAAACTACATATACAGGTGAAACTCGAATAATTAGAATATCGTGCAAAAGTAATTGCAGTAAGTGCTGCAAAAGGGGCCCAAACCAAGTACTGAGTACATATGCATGCTTGTACTTTTCAGAGGTCCGATATTGTTCTATGTACAATCCTTGTTTTATTGATTGCATGTAATAATCTACTTTTTTGAGATTGTGGATTTGGGGTTCTTGGGGTTTTCATGAGCTGTAAGCCATAATCATCACAATTATGACAAATCACGGTTTGAACTATCTTGCTTTGCATGTAATGAGTCTCTCTCATATATTAGTTTCACCTTTTAAGTTGCATTAGTGAAATAAATGAACTTTGCACGATATTCTAATTATTCGAGTTTCACCTGTATATAAGCTGGAGTCCAGGAGTGCCTAGACACAGGAAGTGCACTGCTATTTTTCAAAAGCAATATATTACAAAAGGTAGATCCCTAAATGTTCCATATAACATAGCAAACCTTCCAATTTTTAGCTCAGGTCCACTTTAAATTACCACACCCATTATGTTATCAATTTTTATAGTATTTGCTATGTAAAACTCAATTGACATTGAGACACCTGTTTTCTCATTAAAAACTACTGCTACAGTCTGCGTGGTGTTTACTGTGAGGTTCTATGCAGTGTTTATTGGGAAAAGCAGAAAATCAAGCAAATTCAGGTAATAGAATAATTGTTTATGAAATACAACCCCAATTCCCAAAAAGTTGGGACGCTGTGTAAAATCTACATAAAATCAGAATGCAATGATTTGCAAATCTCAGTAACCCATATTTTATTCACAATAGAAAACAGAAAACATATCAAATGTTTAAACTGAGAAAATGTCCAATTTTAAGACAAAAATAAGATGATTTTGAAATTGATGGCAGCAACACGTCTCCAAAAAGTTGGGACGAGGGAAAAAAAAAAGCCCGCAATATAAGTGGTACTAACAAGCAAAAGCTTGTCTAATTAGGTTAATTGACAGCAGATTTGTAACATGATTGGGTATAAAAAGAGCATCTTAAGCTGGCCATACACCTTACAATTTATCTGCAGATTTTCTGTGGTCAGATGGAAAAGGTGCAACAGATTCCTCCATCTACACTTAACTGTGTGGATGGAGTAATCTCCACCTGGCCCAAGCTTTTTCCATCTGACTACAGAAAATCTGCAGATAATTGTAAGGTGTATGGGCTCCTTTTAGAGAGTCAGTGTGTCTCAGAAATAAAGATGGGCAGAGGTACACCAATCTGTGAAAAGCTGCGTCTACCAATTGTCAAACAATTTCAGAATAATGTTCTGCAACGTAAATATGCAAAGACTTTAAATATATTATTATCTACCATACATAATATCAAAAGATTCAGAGAATCTGGAGAAATCTCTATGCACGAGGGACCAGGCCGAAACACAATATTTGATGCCTGTGATTGAGCACACCTCAGACAGCGCTGCATTAAAAACAGGCATGATTCTGTGATGGACATCACTGCATGGGCTCAGGAATACTTCCAAAAATCACTGTCTTTGAACACAGTTCGCCATATCATCCAAAAATGCAAGCTAAAGCTCTATTATGCAAAGAAGAAGCCATTTCTGAACATGATCCGGAAACACCACCATCTTCTCTGGGCCAAATCTCATTTAAAATGGTCTGTTGTAAAGTGGAAAACTGTTCTGTGGTCAGATGAATCAAAATTTGACATTCTTTTTGGCAACCATGGGAGCTGCGTCCTTCGTACTAAACAGGGTTAGGGACTAGGGATGCACAGCTACCGGTATTTCAATACTGACTATGAGTACTATGAGTTTCTTTTCCCTACTCGGCGATACCGAGTACCGGAAGTCCCATTCAGGATGCCAGGCGGCGTGTAAAGACTCGCCACTGTTGTGGAAATTTTATTAGGATGGGGTTTTAGTGTATTGTAATTAGGGATGTCCCGATACAGATGCTAGCATCGGAATCGGGCCCGATACAGGGCATTTTGACAAGTACTTGTACTTGTCAAAATGC